CTAGACATATCTACAGCTATAGTACATTGGTACTAGTATCTAATATTGTAACATTGAAACGAGACATAAACTTAAAATGCTATCTAGATTATAATTTTAGTAGCTAACACCTGTTTAAATTGTGAAAATTATTATTTAATGGAGACCCAAAAAGATTCTATTTCAAGTCTTACAACATTATTGGTGGTTGTTATATCAGATGGAGAGATGAAAGTATAAAGCAAGTTCTAAAATGAAGGGAATAAGAAATTTTAAATTGTAAAACAAAACTAAATAAAAGAGGAGACCAGGTAGGTGACTAAGGCCATATTTGGTTTGTTGCCACATGCCTCATTTTTTCAATTCTTAATAATTTTGGGCATGGTTTTTAAAACTGAACCGGTGACCAAATCGGTCAGGGGTCCAGTTATCGGTTCAAATGGTTTGACCGTTTGACCCGAACGGTTGGCCCATTCTTATAAAAAAATAAAAAAAATAAAAAAATTGAAAAACAGTCAAAACTGTTCAAACGGTTAACCGGTTGGTTCAGTGGTTTGCTGATCAAAATCAACGGTTTTGGGGGAAAACGAAACCGGTCAAGTGATCGATTCCCAATTTTTCCGGTCCGACCGTCAGGTCCGGTTCGATTTTGAAAACCATGATTTTGGGTAAGAATGAAAATAGAGACAGTCTATAGCATGAAGAATAATCGTGTTGTAGGCTGTCCATTCTCATTTGGTTCATGATCTTTTCAACTTGTGATTTCTCTTTCTCTCGCTGGTGCATGTTCTCATGCTTGCGAATCAAACCACCGAAGTAACGTTACCTTGTTTCAACAAAGCTACTTCTTGTTTAAGCAAAATGAATTCTCTCCTCCCGAATAATCCGATATGAATCAAATGAGTTTCCCATCATCACATCTTTTAACCCAATTAACTACTTTATTGGCCCAAGCAGAACACAAAATCCCACAATTAGAGAGGTTAAATAATCAATTCATTCACACATCAACAAAACGTCCCTTGTTTAATTTGATGCCTTCATTGCTAACTTTGTTATTGAATGCCATTTTAAATGTGCAGCAATGGATGATGCCATCCGATTGTTTGATGAAATCCCTTATCCAAATGCTATCTCTTGGAATATCATCATTTTAGGAACCAAAACCTGAAACATGAGGATTCATGGAGAATATCCTGTAGATCTAATGCTTTCTTATGGGTCTGATCCCATTCAGTTCACCTATGGGTTTGTCCTTTTAGCCTGCACTGTCTCTAGGCTATTTTTTTTGGTCACCAGATTTGTTCTTGCGTAATAAGAATGGGTATTTTACTAATGAATATGTTTGGATTGGAATGATAGACTTGGTCTTCAAAAAGTGGAAGTTTCAAATATGCTTTGATTGTATTTCAAGATGTTTTATGTGAGAATGTGTACATTGGAATGCTATAATCGCTGGTGCTATTAAGAGTGGGGAGAACATATATACTTGCATGCTTTAAATATTTTTCACCAAATGTTAGGTGGGCTCTCAATGCCAAACAATTTTATATTTTCAAGCATTTCGACAACTTGTAATGCACTTGAAGAACTAGGGATTGGCAAAGGGTTCATGGGTGTGTGATTGAATATGGTGTAGATATCTTTGTGGGAATTGCTATTGTTGATATGTCTTTATGCCAAGTGTAGTAATATTGGTGAAGTTGTGAATGAATTTTCATGTATGCCAGTCCAAAATGTAGCTTTTTGCACTACCATAATTTTTGGGTTTGTTTGGAAAGAGGATTACATTTCTGCTTTGAAGTTCTTCAAAGAATTGAGAGTAGTTGGGGAAGAAATTAATACCTCTTTTTTTTTTTTATAGAAACCAAGAGGGGCTACACAAGACGGGGGGTAGCGCGTCCCCATAAATCAGACTTACAAATACAAGATAGATTCCAAGGAAGATCACTAAGATTGAGACTTATTGTACCCTGTAGGGACGAAAAGGCTTGATTGGCGAGCTAGTTTGCCACTTGATTAGCTTCCCGGTAGACATGATTGTGGACCAAGTCTTCGTTTGCTCGATTCTTCAGATCCAAATACTCTTCAATGATGTTCCGAAGGTTCCAGGGGGGCGGGGTCGATGGGTCGTTTCAGATAGGAAATCATGATCAAGGAGTTGCCTTCAATGATGATGGAATGGTTTGAGAAATTCGTTGCCAAGTTGTGGGCCTCCCACGCGGCCCAAGCTTCCGCCAAGTTGATTGTCGTAGAACCTAAGTGGTAAGCCTTGTAATTTATCACCTCACCCGTGAAGTTCCTAGTTATGGCTGTGACTGAGCACAACCCATTATTTAACCGGGACGTGTCGAAGTTAATTTTAATAGTGCCAATTTTTGGAGTTTGCCACACAACATATTTGCATGACTTATGGGAATCCACCCCATTGGTCTTCAAATTGGTTTCATAGTATTCCAGAAAGGCCGATAGAGCTCTTTCAATCACCACTTGAATAGGGGTTGACGCATTATTAAAGGATTTTTGGTTTCTATTTTTCCAGATGTACCATAATAAGAACACACATTTTTCTCTTTCATTGTTTCCTCCATTTGAATTTTTCTTACCAATTTTAAGCTGTCAATCTTCCAGTGAAAGATTAAAACCTGAAGGACCCTCCAAAATGGGATTTATTGCATCCCAAATTTATTTAACAACTGTACAATTTTTAAAAATATGATCCACATCCTCGTTATCTTCAGAAAAACTACATTTTCCATCCACACTTAAACCTCTATTTTGTAGAAGCAATTTTGTTGGGAGTCCTTTATTAAGAAGGAGATAGAGAAAAGTTTTCAATTTTGGTGGACAATTAACCTTCCAAACAGTTGAATTCCACTTTGGGTTCAACTCTTCATGAATAAACAAGTTACATTTTAATTTATAAGCAAACTTAATTGGGAATTTTCGATCACAGCTAAGTCTCCACACTAATTTATCTTCTTTTTTTATTTGAGGGGATAAAGATAGATTTTATTTTCCCCCAAATATTCAAATGAACCATGCTACAAATTCTATTTTCAATCCATACACTCCTATTTTGATCAATAACAAGGAGATTATCATTTTCAATTCTATCAGGATGAATAATTTGGTCCAAGGAGGTATTGCCAACTCAAGTATTTTTCCAAAACTTGATAGATTTTCCATTGTTTATTTCCCAACCTAACTCTTTTTTAAGGAGATCTCATCCCTTAAGGATACATCTCTAAGCCCATGATATACCTTTCTTTTCCTTCACATTCCAAAAGTCCTCCTTGTGAATGTACTTTGTTTTAATAATTTTAACCCAAAGGTTATCATTGATAAGTAATATTTTCCAGCCCAACTTTGCTAAGTTGGCTTCATTAACCCAATGGAGGTTTTTTAGCCCCAAACCACCCCAACATTTTGGGGTACACACTTTGTTCCATCCAATTAAATGAATCATTTTTTTTTTCACTAGAATTTGTCCATAAGAAGTTCCTTTGGCTTTTATCAATTTCATCAATGATATTTTGGGGAAGTTTGAAAGAACTCATGTGAAATTGCGACATTGTATTTGTTATAGCATTCAGTAGGGCCATTCTACTTGCTAAGGATAAGTGTTTTTTTTTTTTTTTTCCAGCTTGCCAGCTTGTTATTAACCCTTTCCTTAAGATTCAAGAATGTGCTCTTTGAAACTCTACCATTTATTATGGGAGTTCCCAAATAGATATTAGACTTTGCTTGGATTGGGATCTTCAGAATTTTTGCTATGATTTTTTGGAATCTCGTTGGCATTTTTTTTGAGAATTGGAGTGTAGATTTGAAAATTTTGGGCACTGGCACCGCAACAAAATGAGTGAGAATGTCTTTTATTTTCAAACATCCTATAATCGAGGTCTCAGAGAATATCATACAGCTGTCTGCAAGCTTAAGCCTTTAAAATCCATTTCTTAATTATAAAAATGGGTTTTATTCAGATTCCTCTCAAAGAACCATTCTATCTAAAAGCTTAAGCTGTTAGATGAGGTCCTTGAATAGGTTGATATTCTCTAACACATAGTGAGGGGCTCTTTGATTAATATATATGCAAAAATTGGAGTAGTTGAATTGTTTGAGATGGTATTTGGTGATATTAGGTATTCTAGTAACTTGAATGATTGGGGAGCTATTATATCTGCTTTCACTCAGAACTAGAATCCTGAAAGGACATTGAATTATTTAGGAGGATTGTTTAGGGAGGTCTGAGACCTGATGAAATTTGTAGTTGTAGAGTTGTAGTATTTTAAGCATTGTTGACCATTTATATCTTAGGAAAGAAATCCATTGTTACCTTTTTAAATCTGGGTTGATTTCTCATGTTTCTGTTGGGAGTATTTTTATCACAATGTACTCCAAATGTGGGAGCTTAGAGGAATCTCACCCATAAGGATGAGATTCCGTTAGATGTTTGCAGTAGGGCTGAGAGCTTCCTAACAAAAGCAGCAGTACTCCCAACTGATCACGGTTTATCTCATCAATCTAAGGATGATTATCAATGCTTTAACTGTTCTACAGTCACTTATGAGAGTTGAACCAAACATGCCCTAAGATGCTGGCCACCATTCGTAAATATGGGAAAACAATGAGATGCCTCTAGGGGGGTGTTCTTTTTTTGGATTTGGAGAGGGAGGAAAGTTGGTCAATGGGATTTTGGTTCCCATTGACCAAGAATCCCATGTTCTTTTTTCAGCTTTATGTGGGGACCCTTTTTAATAATGGATTTCTATGGCTAAAATGGTCATTGCCTTATTTACCTAGGAAATAAAAGAACATGGGTAAATGCACTTACTTGGGTAAGTGTTTCCTAGGAAAAACTTACCCAAGTAAATAACTTATCGAAAAATGAATGGGGCCTAGGTGGAGCCTTGGACTCTAATACCATATAAGATCAGAGAAAAGTAGAAAAAATGCATTGCTCAGTATATGACAACTACATTATATTTATAGATTCATAGACATAAATCCAACTCGGACCAAATTATATCCAAACTATCCTAATCCAATTCAACCTTATCATAACCACCACTTAAACTTATTTGTTACAATAATCCCTAATACAAACAAATAAGTAAAAAAAATCCAAAATACAATAACGAGGACTGGACATATGAGCATCATGCATACAATACAACCAATACATAACCTATATCTATACTACCTATAAAAGAGCGAATGCCCCTTCTTTCTGGAGTTTTCAGTGGACGTTTTCTACCCCTCTTGTTCAAGCATACAATGGGCATAAATGTCTTTTACTCTCACGTTAGAAACTGCCCACTTATAACAAGAAACTATCCATGAATTACCAGTAATACATAAGAAGCAAAACAGAGCTATATGCCTGCTTCATGTAAAGGTGTAGAATAGGGGTTCACCATGACTTGTGTTGTTTGCTTGGGGGAAATAGTTCCAAGAGCTCTAATAATGGGCTTAAACTTCTCAACAAACTTTATAATACCAAGGAAGATGAGCCGATAAAGAACCACCATGCCTAATAAGACTGCAAGATCAACCCACTTGGAGTAGTCCATGTCCATTTGCAATGTTTTCCTCAAGATTTCATTTCCACTCATTAATATGGGCTGCCCTCCTTGATTGCTGGGGAATGTTAACCCTTCAAACTCATTCTTATAGAACCCTTCAAACGCATACTTATGAAAAGAAATGTAGTAGATTGGGTATCTCCAGAAAGGATTTGGGATATCATCTCGCAGTCGAAAGAATCCACCATTCAACATCATCAACCCTTGAATTCCAGCTCCAGAAATTATGCCCATAAGGAAATTTGGTACAACACTTGCAATGATCATCATTAAGCTTTCAACCAATAGAGTGCAAATGAAGAGCAGTAGTGTGAAGTACACGAAATGCTCAATTCCCCTTTGAAGCCCAACTAAGTAATAAGCAATTGCCCCGGGAGCTGCAGAAACTAGAAGCAAGTATGGGATGGAAGAAAGTGTGTTGCCCATAACGTAAGCACCAACTCCATAATGCCCATTTAACCTTTCTCGTTCAAATATCTGCATATCAAGAGAAAACAAATTACAATAAAAGAGAAAATTTAATGTTTAATAACACTAATTAAGGCCGTGTTTGTTTCTCTTTTGTTCCATCTACCCGAGTAATTATACTTATTCGGGTAAGTGTATTTACCTATGTGCAAAACATGGTTTTGCACTCTACAAATTTGTATTTGTACTCTTTCCAAACCGAGCTTTAGGTGAATGAGATAAGTATCATTTTATCCTTAAAACTAAAAGAGTCAATATTGTCTCACAACTTCCCCTTACGTGGGAAAGTTATTTACCCATATGGGAGAAGCCACGTAAGTGATACTTAAGAAAAATAACTTTTTCCATGGATCTTGAGAGAATCTGCAAAGAGGATGTGGGATTGTTGGTTTTTCCATTGAGCAACTTTTTCCATACATTTACCGAAAAACGAACATGCCCTAAGATTTTAAATGTTTACATGCTTAACTTACATGCTAATACAGTTCGAATTGTGTGTTCATGTATTTCCTATTTATTTTAAAACCAAAAATGATAATTCTACCTTGTGTATAAATGTTTTATGGTATCAACACTGCATAAAAGCACAACAACATGTAAATGTTGCACACCAGAGATATAACTACAGCACTCCAAGTTTGCAAGAATCAAGAGATATAGCCTCAATGTATGGTTTGCACACTTACCGCCTGAATGTATATATTCTTGTTCTGCACACTTGGAAAGCATGGGAATCCAGTCACACATTAGGAGTATCTCCCCATGAATTTAACATATATGTACAGAAGATATTCTTAATGTGCAACTGGATGCTATGTGAGCAGAGTTTTTGCATGGAGATCTAGGCTTGCTCAAATCATGATGAAAATTGTTATTTAACTGATATCACAAGGTTCTGGTCCGAGTCTTATAAAACACTGCTGATTCATTAAAACATTATTCTATGCCATGAAACTGCCAAATAGGAATGGCAACGGGGCGGGGATCATATTCTCCGTCTCTGACCTCGATTATGAAATTAACCCCGTCCTCGTCCTCGATCCCTGCCGGGGATAAAATTTGTCCTCCATCTCTGATCCCCAACAGGGATGGGTTCCCTGTGGGGACTCGAATCCCCAAAATTTTTTAGATGACAGTATTTATTTGAAAAATAAATTTACTTAAAATAAATAAAAATTTTAATTTATAAATAATTTTTTATATATGTTTCGAATATATATATACACACATATATACATACATAATCAGGGTTGGGGTGGGGCGGGGACCTCAATCCCCATCCCCGACCCCAACTCTGATCCTGATCAGGGGTTCCTATTAATTCCCATCCCCGTCCCCATCCCTGCCCCGCCAAAACAATCCCCATCCCCAACCCCATCGGGTTGGGGAAATCGGGTCCCCGTTGGGGATGGAGAAATTGCCATCCCTACTGCCAAATAAACAATAGAGAGACAATTCTATGGATAAAATTAAAAAAAAAAGGAATTAATTTAAGGAGATAGATCAGCCAACCTTCATGTCCTCAACAAAAGAAGGGAATCCACCAATTGCCATAAACGTTATGAATGAAGCTATGTACATGAGCACCGAAGATCTCGCCTAAAATGAAGTAGAATTAGCTATAATTAATATCCCTTTCTTTCCTCAAAAACTCCGCTACGTACATACCCACTTTCACCACCTTACCTGAATTGAGCCATAGCTATGACCGATTTTGTAAAATACCGTGCCCACGCATAAACAAAGAGAGATATAGACAGCAAATCGTAACCAGTAGTAGCCTACATCACGGTACATGTTGACGAAAGATCTTCTTGTAAGAACAAGTGACTGAGTAAAGAAGCTTGCTTGACTTCCCTTCTTCTCCAGAGTTTTTCCTCCCTACAAATTAAAAGGTAACAAGCAAATCTTTAGACATCTCTTCCCATTTGTATTTATGTATGTAGTATGAGTTGAAGATTGTTTTTGTATAGGTTTTTAGGGGGATAAGGATTTTATGTCCCCCTTCTAGGTTTTTCTTCTTTTGAGATTTAATAAAACTAGTAAGTAAACCCATGCAATGCATGGGGTTAAGTAGAAATTTGGTCAGTTTTGGATGTAGGGCAATGGTGACTTTAATTTGAAGAATTTCAACTGCATTAAGTTTGGGTCGGAGTTCAAGTCAAGGTTTTAAAAAACCGACTTAAAATTGGAATCGTTCTGGCCACTGGTTTTTGAGTTGATGGTTCGACCATCTGGTTCAAATGAATGATCCATTCCAACAAAAAATAAAAAAAATCGTTGAATGAGTCAACGGTTCAATCATCCGAGTCAGTAGGTCACTGGCCAATTCAACGGTTTTTGGCCAGGAACCGGGTTTGAGGTAAAATGAAACCGGTTGTCTGGATGGTTCTTAGGCTGAATGGTTCGATCGTCCGGATCAACAGTGGTCCGAAAACATTGGTTCAAGCCCATTAAAAATTTATCAATACTCCCACCGAATGAGACCCACACTGCACCCCTACTTGGGTTTGACTTTTGACATCACTTTGAGTCCTACCGAGGATCCATTTTAGATTTGGTCATAATTCGTTTGGACCTTAGCATAATCCAATCCATCAAATTTATACACTTACTTTATTAGAGAGACTTAAAAGGGTAAGAGAGACAAAGAGATTTAAAGAGGAAAGTAGGGATTTAATGGGGGAAGGGAAGATGTTACAAATATTGATCATGAGAGAGAGATTGGATTTTATTAAAAACAACTAGGATCTCAACAGATTTTTATTTAAATAATGATGGATTTTTATTAGAGGCAATTAAGACCTAAGAGGGTTTTTATTTTGACTATTTATATTTCTAATAATTGAATTTATAAATAACTAATCACATATATGAAAAATGAGAGGAGGTCCATGTGAGCTTTGTGGTGAGAGGACTCCTCACCTCTCTTTCCTCTTTGTAATATTAAATAGCACCTAAACCCATTCAATGTATCAGCACGTCAACAATACATTGTTTTCATGTTTTTTTTTAAATGATTTATTTTAAATTTTAAATAAAATTATTTCCACATCTCCTCTCAAATTTTGAATTAAAAAACTTAAAAAAAAGGTGATAGGTTCAAAGTACCGATACACCCCTTTTGATGTATTGGGGTGTATCAATACTTTGAACCTTGATCCAGGGAAGATGTTACAATCATTGACTATTGAGGGAGAGTGAATTTTAAGAATGATACTATTAGAAAGTATAGTCAATGATGGATTTTATAAAAGAAAATGGGAAAATCTAAGATACTGCAAAGACATGGGATCGAAGAGTTTTGACCAATCAAATCACTCCTGTGAATTTTGATTAATACCACCTGATTGATCATCTCTTTTATGATATATACCAGTTGTGTGGTTATGAACTTCTTGGATATCATAGTCGAACCCAATTACTACAAACTTCAACATGATGATGAATTGAATTATTTACAGACCTTCTTGTATAACTCAGCCACCCGTGTTCTAACTTGTTGACAAATTTCCGATGATTTGTATGAACGCACAAGAATGTTGATTGCTTCCTCTGTGGTCATCTTCAATCCATCAGAACCTTGTTCAATATCCTGGTGACATTAATCAAGAATTTTAAGCGTAATAAAAATGTCCTTCCAAAAAGAAACGTTGCTATTGATTAGCTCTTTCTTTTATAAACATCGTTCGATACATATCGGGCCGTATCGGGGACTTTCTGATACACCCTTACAGGAGGGGTATTTTGCGGTTTAACCCAGTTCAGGGGGTAAACAAGTCTTAAATTGACCCCTCTGAACCACAGGTTTAAAATAAAGGGAGTGAACCCCAATACAGTCTAATTCGGATTGTATCGATATTTTGAACCTTGGTATAAACATCAACTTGAAATTTGAGACATCACTTTATGTTTCTATCATCTATCATAAAAACACTTGAAGAAAAATCTACTCACCTGATCAAAATCTTTGTTGATCGTTCTAAGGAAGTGGTCAGACGGATTCCTCAAAGTTGGGCATGGGAAACCATTCAATGCGAAGAACTATAATTGAAAGATGAGTATGTCATGTCATATAAGGAATTAACTTGGACGGAAAAATGCATGTGGGGAGTGATCATTGCGGTTTAGAGTAGTTGAAACATTGAATTTGATGTTTCAAATGACAACGAAAATTTGTATTGATCAACCCAAAATGTTACAACTCATATTTTAACACCAATTTCTAATGATCAGCCCCAAACATTTAATGAAAAAACAATAATGGTACCAAACACAACCATAATCTGTGTGGCCACCATTTCAGAGAATGAGACTCAATTTACATTGAATAATGTCTACTAATGCCTTTTCAGAATCTCTGGAATCAAAGCCATCCAATTAGGTCCAGTTTCATAGTATCACACCATATAAGTAGGTTTATGCATGTTGGAAAACACCCTATAAATTGAATCATTTTCATTTCCATTTTGTACCTAAGTATGCTTTATCTTTATACTAAGGGCCTGGAAAGTTGGTCAATGGGATTTTGGTTCCTATTGATCAAAATACCCATGTTCTTTTTTTTCAGATTTATGTGGATGAATACCCATCTCTCAACTAAGTAAATAACTTTTTCGATTAGGGGAAAGTTGCCGACACTTGAATGAGACAAAAACATCATTTTTACTAATAAATTTTTATGGTGAAAACAGTCATTGTCTTATTTACCTAAGAAATAAAAGAATATGGATAAATACTCTTATCTGGATAAATATTTTCCAAGAAACAACCCAAGTAAATATAAATTAAATTCCGAAAAACAAAAGGGGTCTAAACATTAAAACCTTCAGCCCGGAAAAAAAAAGAAGGATTGAAACATAATTCCATACCTCATTTGCTGCAGACGCAGGACCAAAATAAACTGTTCTACCAGAGGATAGAAGACAGAGATTGTGGAAGAGCTCAAAAACTTCACTGCTAGGTTGATGTATTGATGCAATGATAGTCCTTTCATCTTGTTGGGCAAGGTCAGCAATTCTTTTGATGACATGGTAGGATGCAGCACTGTCGAGCCCACTGGTGGGCTCATCTAGAAACAGAAGCTTTGGGCGTGTCAAGATTTCAATGCAAATGCTGACCCTCCTTTTCTGGCCCCCACTTAGTCCCTTACTTCCCCATCCTCCTATTCTTGTATTCATTGTATCTTGCAGGCCCAGTTCCCTCATTGTCATCTCAGCTCTCTCCTTCTTTTCAGATCTTGACATGGAGTCTGGCAACTGGAGCTGGGCAGAATAATATACGGCTTCTCTGACGGTTAATGTTGTCATGAGGGTGTCATCTTGGGTCACGTAGGCCTAAATTATTGGGAAAAATACCACTGTTACTACCATAAGAAATTGAATTCAAGTGTCATTTACTAAACCTACTATATAATTTTTATTTTATACGGTCACACTACCTGTACTTCCTTTCACTAAGAAGTGTTTGTTTCGCCATCTGGAAACAAGGTTTTTAAAATCGAATCAGACAATAAATCGGTCAGGGGTTCGGTTTCTGGGTCGAACAGTTTGGCCATTCGAACCGAATGGATGGCCCATTCTAACAAATAAAATAAAATAAAAACGACCAAACGTTAGACGATTCAAATGGTTTGAACGGTTCGACTGCCCGAGTTAGTGGTTTGCTGACCAAATCAACAGTTTTTGGCGAAATAATAGTTTTGGGGTAAAACAAAACCGATCACCTGACCAGTTCCTGATTTTTTTGGTCCGACTATCCAGTCCGATCCGGTTTTAAAAACCATATCTGAAAATAGTAACATGATCACCTAAACTGAGTGAAAAATGTTCAAGGGCATGGGCCCATGATTATTTATTATATTCCAAAAGTACTATCCTAACACTTTGTATTTAAAACAAAATTAATCAGAGTGGTTGCTGGTGTCTTACTAGGTATTTTCATTTTCCTTTGATTAATGAAAGGCCGATTAAATAAATTGGTGCAAACTATAGGGGTGCTTTAGCTAAATGCAAATTATATGGTAGGTTTTAGTAAATCATTGAAACTATACGGAATATTTTAATAAATGACCCTAAATGTAAACATCCAAGTAAAAAAATCATGCCTGGTACTAAAATGTTTAAAAAAACTGCTGCTATAAACATTAAATCATTTGCAAATGATTGAGTTTAAAATTTTAAATCCTGATTTTCTTTTGCTTTAGATTTGATATTATCTTGTTTGTTTGTAAGAAATAAAATAATTAAAGTGGTCCCTAATTTATATGAAAGAGAAATGAAGTAGAAAGCAAATTGATGTGATACTCACTTTATATTAAGATATGAAAAAGGATGCAAAATTTGCACCGCTAATGCATGCAAATGAGACAAAAATTGCAAATATAATTTTGCATCAGGTAACAGCATAAATCAATCTCAAATGGATGCAAAACTGAACTCAATTCAGATTTGCATTTGTTTGCAAACAAATGCAGCCCATAATTAAACATATAGTTCATACAGTAACACATATAAGACTAAATATGACTATTTATTAACATATTATTGTTTCAAGATCAATTTGTTTCCAACTGCGCTGGTATTTATAGACAACCCGGCCATTATTAAAGAGTTTGAGGCTTCACAACACTGAGGCCGCTTTATAACAGCTGAGGTGAAGTGGGTGAACTGAATGACTTATTTATTTTTAGTGAATAAGTTATTAAGGAGGTCATAATCTTAATGGCTGAAACTGAAGCTAGGTTTGATTTTTGTACGAACTGTCATTGACCCTGATCAGCCCGGAAATCAGCCATACAACCACTATGTTTCACCAGGCCAATCCATTTGGACCGGACAGTCGAACTGATTCCCGTTCTGAATGGATTTTTAAAACATTGTTGTATGCTCAAACCAATAAACCACTAGGTTCAGCCATTTAGGCCGTCTTCAAACGGCCAACACATTATTGATGATTAGATGAACTGATAAAAGAATGTTCTCTTGTAAAACTTATATAGACACTGAAGCAGCTGAGAAATAAATCCAGGTTAACCGAAAGAACATCTTCTTAGCTCTTACGGAGGTCCCAAAAGCTAGCGTCTGCTTTCTACCATTGATGAGGATCTCCCCAGACTGCCTTGTGTTTGAACTCAATCTTCCTGAAATTGGTGATTTGGAAGAACATCTCATAAGAAACTAAAAAAACAAAAAAGCTTAAAAATTAGAAATATTGTGATAATGGAATGGTGAAACAAAATTCATGTATAGATGAGATAACGTTAGTTAGATAGATAAAAGGGTTTCAAATCATATATTCAGATACAAATCCAAAAGTGTCTGATGTCTAAAAAACAAAATTTTCAGATGTCAAACGTCTGAAAAGTATTATCAAACGATGCCATAAAGCTTACCTGCCAATGCATCCAAGAGGGTGGATTTGCCACAGCCAGAGGGACCCATGATGGCCAAGAACTCGCCAGGCTGGGCGTAGCCCGTGAGACCCTGAAGGAGCGAGCGGCACTTAGTTTTCCCGTTGGAGACGGTGACCCAGAGATCCTCCCAGGTCAAGAAAATACTATCCCCTTGTGACCCTGATTGAACAGCATCACACTGGGGAAAATTCTCTCTCCTGGTCGATAGTTTAGCCCTTTCCATCTCCAATGAAATGTTTTCATGGAAAATTCGGAATGAGGCGTTGTGGTCATCATGTTCAGGGTGACTGGGTTTAGGCTCAGATGGAGAAGGGAAATACTCCTCCATGCCAATGCCATCCTTCTCTTCTTCTCTTTCCATGGTTTCATGGCAAGTTGATCTTTTGGTCCTTTCAGGGACGTTGGGTTGGGAAGGCATTCTTAATGCTCAAATTCTTGCAAGAAACTTATTGAGAGAGAGAGAGAGGTTTTTAGAGGCTATGGAAACTGAATATCACTTCAACAATTTATAGACTTCATAACTATCAAGTTTTCAAGGAAGGGAGGAATTAATCTAGTATCCAGATTTTTTTGTCATGTGATTTTTAAGGGAATTTTAGTCAACACAACATACTTTTATGCTAAATAGTTCTTAGTGTTCCTTAGGCCACAAAATTAATTAGTTTTTTTTTTTTTGGATTTTTTTTAGGGGGTGGGGGGTGGGAGAATCCAATTGACGAAGATATTCATGCTCTTTTTTCAAATTTATGTGAGGTCTACAGAAAATTTATTTTTTTTTTCTGAATTTTAATACCCATTTCTTAGGTGGATAAATAACTTTTCCACTTAGGAGGAAGTTGTCGATATTTAAATGGAAAAAATTATCCCTTTTAATAATGACTTTTTATGGTTAAAAACTGTTATTGTCTTATTTAACTGAGAAATAAAAGAATATAGATAAACACATTTATCTGGATAAATAACCTCCTGAAAAGTGAACGAGGCCTTAGGGTTAATTACTTACATGTACACTAAGGTTTAAGGAAACTATTTATATATAATTTCAAAAATTACTTACTGATACCTTCTAAAATAGCCTCACCAGGCCCTCTGTTCATCAAACGTTGTGAGCCATTTATACCTATCATTATTTTTTTTTTCTTTTTGTAATATCAAACTTACCTTCATTTTGAAAACACAGTTGATCTTCTTTTTCCAAACTTTATCAAAGTGAAGTTTTATTACATATGCGGTAATCCCAAATACACCTCTCATCTCCCTGCTCTTGACTGTTGGGCAGAGACATCACATACCCTTCTAGCAAATTGAATAGGGTGGACTTGAATCATTTGATGGGGGATCTCGCTCTTAGTCTCTGGCAGCCCATCCACATTTGCTAATACAGTGTCATAGTCAACGTTTTAAAAAACGATTGGGAAATAGAATTGTTGTGGCCATTGGTTTCTGGGTGGATAGTCCAATCATCTAGTTCAAACGGACAGTCTGTTCTGACAAATAAATTAGAAATTAAAAAAATAATTAAAAATAAAAAATAGTTAAAAATCATCGAATGGGTTGACAATTTGATCGCCTGAGTCAATGGATTACTAATTTTTTATTAAACCGGATTTTAAGTAAAACAGAACCAATTGCCTGAAAGGTTCCCGAGTCAAACGGTCCGACCATCCAGATCAATGACGGTTCGAAAACCTTAATCGTAGCCCTGTACTGATCTTGAATATTAGATGAAGTAACTTTTTGGTGGGGTCACTGCAATGCATCAAAGGCCATAATTTTCTGTTTTAGCACTACACTACAACAGTGTCGTAGCAAAAGTGAACTCCTAGTGAAGTGGTATTGGTCCTCCTCAACCCAAATTGGAGTGCAGAGGAAAATCGCCAAAAAATCCAGATGAACGTATAAAAAATATCTGCCATCAATGTTCTTTCTCAAAAAATGACAAATAAGGACTTAAGTTAGGTAACATTTCATGTGCAGGAAGCTGAAAAATAACCTAAATTGTTTTTTACAAACAGCCAAACTTTTTGATTTGAGGCGTTTTGGTTGATTGGGGCAAAAAAAAGAAAACAACCAATGAGCTAAACTTGTGGCTGTGTTTAGGAATTAGGACTGTGAGACAAATAATGACGCTGTGGCTGTGTTTAGGACTGTGAGGCAAATAATGACACAACGACACAACGCAACAGCCATAACACATTACGATTAGACCTGTTCATGGGCCGGGTCGGGCTGGGTTTAGACCAGGCTTTGTATATGTATCAACAGAATATATTCAGGCCTGAGCCCGAAACCAGCCCTCATATAAAGTTCAAAGCCCGGGCCCGAGCCTGAGCTCGGCCAGAATTTTTTTTTTCATTTTTATTCAATAAAAAAGTATTTTATTTATATTAAAAACCTTCAAAACTCAAAAATAATAGACATCTCACTATTACTTGAAAAAAAAGAACAAAAAAAAATTATATATTTTTTATTAAATAAAATATATTTTTATTATTTAATATATAGTATCAAGTCGGGCTTGGGCTTGAGCTTGGGCCAGGCTTTTTTGAGAAAGTCTGAGCCTAGCCTGAAAACAATCAGGGCCAGTGCTTTAAGCCTGAGCTCGAGTCCGCAGGCCTAAAAATTATAATTAAGCCTGATTTATAACAGGTCAAGCGGGCCTACCCGTCCAATTACCCGACCCATGAACAGGTCTAATTACGATGGGAATTGGAATTAGTTGAACGTGATGTCTGTTCAGTGGATGCGGAACCAACAATAACGCTTTACATCGGTAATAAAATACATGAAACCCACGGTGAAAAGTTAAATGACTGTAGGTTCCATGAATTTTATTATTGACGTGGAGTTTTATAATCGGATCTACAGCCCACTTAACAGCTACTACGTTCAATTAATCATTTCTCAACTGACACGATTAGGAATGGCAACGGGGCGGGGATCATACTCTCCGTCCCTGCCCCTGATTCTGAAATTAACCCCTATCTCCGTCCCTGATCTCTACCGTGAATAAAATTTGTCTTCTATCCCTGATTCCTAAATTTTTTTAGATAATAATTTTGTTTGAAAAATAAATTTACTTAAAATAAATAAAAATTTTAAATTATAAATAATGTTTTATTCCGACCCTGATCAGGGATTTCTATTAATCCCCGTCCTCATCCCCATCCCGCCAAAACAATCTTTATCGGATTCCCGTCGGGATAGGGAAAATTGCCATCCCTAGGCACGATGATCCCACATCTATGAAGGTTCAACTAATCTGCCATTGCCAGGCTGGAATACCCTTTCTTGGATTAAGTCCTTTGGAAAATGACTAAATCGATAGGGAAATGTATAACACGGAAAATCAGGATAAAACGTTTTTTTATATGTCTAGTTTGAAAAGGCACATGCATTGCACGTTGTATTAATAGTAGAGAAAGAGACAAGATATCTTCTTTATTTGACTAGGTGTGAGTGACTAAGATATCCATCAATCCTCCTTCAAATTACCTTGCATTCTAGTTCAGTTTTGTTTGTGTTTAGCAACATTACATTTATGCATTGACAAATAACAGACTAATACATATTTACATTGATAATAAAATATAAAAGTACATCAATAAAAAAGAAGTAAATTTGCATTCAAGTGGGCTTTTGATAAAAAAAAAAAAAAACATATGCTTTATTGGAATTCATGTTTGCATCCATTACAGCTAAAAGTCTGTTTGGGAACATGGTAAATTTGTCAATGCAAAATTAACCCAATTTTGCAATTTATATGAACCATTTTACATTCTACATATTTGCATTCACACTTATTTGCATTGTTTTCAAATGCAGCCTAAGGCTCATTTGTTTTTTAGGCCATGTTTGGGAGTGTTTAAGTTAAAAATAAGTGTTTAAAAACAAATGCTTATTCAAATAAGTACTTATTTGCATTTGGTATCCAACTTTTTCAAGTGTTTATTTTTTAAAATAATATCTTATTTTATATTGAGCATTTGGTAGTTTTTTTCTCTAATAAGCACTTAGATAAGCATTTGTGACTATTTTGTCCTTCATTTTCTTTCAAATTTTCAAAATGTACATTTTGAAAGCACTTTTAATAAATTATTTTTATAAAAATACTTTTATGAAAGTACTTTTACAAAAGCACATTTATAAAAGTATTTTTATGAAAAGAATTTTTATAAAAGTGCTTTTGCAAAGTACTTTTATGAAATCACTTTTAAGAAAGTACTTTTATGAAAGAACTTTTATAAAAGCACGTTTTTATAAAAGTTCTTTTTTTAAAAATGCTTTCATAAAAGTACTTTCTTAAAAGTGCTTTCATAAAAGTACTTCTATAAAATTCAACTAGGGATAATTTTGGAAGAAAAAGATTGAATAAGTGCTTATTGTATAAGCACTTAAAAGAAGTTGGAAATTTGGACTTAAAAATAAGCCCTTATTTTTAAAATAAGCACTTATTACAAGCTTATTTCCCAAATATCAATATGTGCTTAATGACCCAAATAAGCACTTATTTTTAAGCACTCCCAAACATGGCCTTAGATTTTGAGAGGGGGGAAAGTTGGTCAATGGGATTTTGGTTCTATTGACCAAGATACCCATGTTCTTTTTTCATATTTATGTGGGGTCAACGGAAAAGGTAAGTGATACCCATCTCAATAACTTTTCCACTTGGAGGGAAAATTGTCAATACCTTGAGACAAAATTTCCCCTTTTAATAATGACTTTTTATGGGTAAAACGATTATTATGTTATTTACTTGGTAAATAAAAGAACATGGATAAATGCACTTACCCGACTAAGTATTTCCCAAGAAACACTTATACCCAGGTAAGTGCATTTATCCGGGTAAGTAACTTCCCGAAAAGAGAATGGGGCCTAAATAGTTTGTTAGTATTTTAATTGAATTCATCTAATCCAATTCATCCAAATGTTGCATCCAAGCATTCCAAATATCTAGGGCATCAAAATTGTATCCTAAGATTAGTGAATTAATCTCAACCATCAAGTAATATATCAAGATTTCATCAAATAACAAATCAACCTGAAGATGTAGGCAATTAAAACGGTCTCCTATAATAATGGATTGATCTAATCCGTCCAAGTGATGTTCTAAGGTACCACTAAACATGGTACCTCTGAACAGATTGAAGCACTAGCTTTCCTTGAGGGTATTAAACTAGCCATTGAATTACAGACCTCTACCATTGTTTTAGAAGGAGAGGTGCAAATGATAGTCACTCTTCTTTAGTGGTTCCCTCGTGCATTCACCACCTTATAGCTGAGTGCATTAGTCTTTTGTGACTGTTATCTCATATTTCTACCTCATTTGTCAATCATAAGGATAACTATGTGGCTCATTCGATTGCAAAAAGGGCTTGTTCTTTGTCTAGACCAAAGACTTGGTCTTCTCCACCTGATTTCTTACTACCTGTACTTCTGGATGATGCGATGAGATCATTCAGCCA